ACATTTTATATTTTTTTGTACTTTTATGATCTCTACACATATTGCTACCATACAATTTTTTTTTTTTTTGCTCAGGTAGGTCAAAAGAGATGCTTTTGAATCATTAAAATACAGTCACCAACACCCATTTTTTCATCAATAAAAAAATAGGGGCTGGTTAGATGGCTTAGCAGGAGGAAGTGCTTGTTGCTAAGTGTGACGTCATAGTTAGATTCCTGGTGCTGTGGTAAAACACCATAACCTAAAGCCACGTAGGGAGGGGAGGGTGTACTTGGCTCAAAGGATACAGTCTGTCGTCAGGGAAAGCCAAAGCATGGGCAGAGGCAGGACCCGTGAAGAAGAGCTGCTTACATGCTTGCTTTCCATGGCTTGCTCAGCCTGTTTCCTTACACAGCCCAGGACCATCTGCCCCGGGCTGGCACTGCCCACAGTGGGCTGTGTCCTCCCACAACCGTTACTAATCCAGTCTGATGGGGGCTTTTTCACAGCTCCAGTCCCCTCTTCCCATTGGACTCCAGCTTGTGTCAAGTTGACATAAACTAGGCAGCACACCCGATGGACGGCCTGAGTTCAGTCCCCGGGGTGGGGGTGAGGGTCCCACACGGAAGGAGAGTTGACTTTCACACTTTTCACTTTCACTTGTCCTTTGACCTTCAAATGTGTGCCGTACAAAATAGTTCAAAAGAAAAATAGCAGTTTTCATTTTTTAAATATCTTTTTGTGCTATTGTTAATATGTAAAACGGTGAAATAAATACAGCAATCTGCTCTGAATGTAACAGGTGTCATGGCAGAGAGTCACAGCATCATGTTGCTTTGACTAACAATAAGCCAGTCTTAGTGTTCTATTCTGTGAAGAGACACCATGGCCAAGGCAACTCTTATAAAGGAAAACATTTAATTGGGCCTGGCTTACAGTTTCAGAGTTCAGTCCATTATCATCATGGCAGGGAGCATGGCAGCACACAGGCAGCATGGTGCTGGAGCAGTAACTGAGAGCCTTCCGTCCTGATCCTCGGGCAGCAGGCAGAGAAAGAGCAAACAACGCTCCGCCTGGCATGGGCTTTAGAAACTTCAAAGCTCACACCCAGTGACACACTTTCTCCAACAAGGCTGCATCTACTCCAAGAAGGCCACACCTCTTAATCTTTCCCATGCCCTGGTGACTAAGCATTCCAATATAGGAGAATAAATAAATGTTTTTCTGTTGTGAAATGCTTGTCCCCTGTCTTGCCAAGAGTCAGTTAGACTGAAAACTACACATTGTGCTTGTTTTTTTTTTTTTTTTAAAGATTTGTTTATTTATTATGTATACAGTATTCTGCCTGCATGTGACCGTGCACTCCAGAAGAGGGCACCAGATCTCATTACAGACAGTTGTGATCCACCATGTGGTTGCTGGGAATTGAACTCAGAACCTCTGGAAGAGCAGTCAGTGCTCTTAACCTCTCAGCCATCTCTCCAGTCCGTGCTTGTTTTTTTTAAGCAGTGTCCATCTCACATGGCCACTTGGTGGCTCTGACTTCTAAAACCCAAGTACTTTGGTGACATAGTGAAAATAGTGTTTATATTTCTTTATATAGTATAACTGAATAGTAGCAACTTGCACTCTGTGTAAATTTTCTGAAAAATAATTCTTTTTAATTTTTTTTAAAACTTTTGATGCAGAGTGTTGCTGTGTAGTCTGGTTGGCCTAGAACTCACTGTATAAACCAGGCTGGCCTGGAACTCTCAGAGGCCTGTCTGCCTTAGCCTCCCCAGTACTGGGATTAAGGATATGCGCCACCATGCTTGACCTGAAAATAATATTTTTAAACATATGTAGAAATAATCTTATAGAATAGGCGGGTTTTCCATTATTTTAAGGGGTGTGACAATTTCTGAGCTCCTGTCACAGTCGTAAGTGTCCAGCCATTGACTGTCTGAATGGATTGCTAGTGAAGATTTGTCCAGAATTACACTGTTACGTCTCCACTGAGAACCATAATTCATATATCCCATAGGTAATGACAGATATACAGTGGACATTTTGTTTAAAGGACACAAAGTAGCAATATTGGGGAAGTGAATCCACATCAAAACCCTTTGCAACAACACAGAGTGTGTTAACAGTAATCTGAGTATCCCGCAGGAGTGAAATCCTGTATTAGTTACTTTGTTGCAACTTAAGGGAGAAAGTTTATTTTGGAAGAGCTTCCAGAGGAAGAGCCCAAACGGCAGGACCACAGAAGCATGACAGCAGGCAGCTGGAGCAGGAAGCTGAGCGCTCACATCTTCAGCAACAAACACCAAGTAGAGGTCAAACGGAGCTGGGATGAGACTATACACCCTCAAAGCCAGCCTCCAGTGATGCACTTCCTCCAGCAACTCTGCCCCTCCCCTAACAGGGCCACCAACTAGGGACTGGGTATGCAAGTACCTTAGCCTACGGGAGACACTTCTCATCCAAACCACCACAAAGCCATACACATGCCATTGAAAGCTTAGTCTTGGGGCTGGAGAAATGGCTTCTAGTCTGATGTTTTAGAAATGCCATGTGGCCTTGGTGGATGTCTGCATCAGGAATGGCAGTATCAACAGCATTTTGCTTGCCTGGTGAGAGCTGTCGTGTGACCAGCCTTGTAAAGACATCCTGAAGTTTCCAAACATCTCCACATTTTATCCCTGCC